ATATCGTTAATTCCTTTACTCGTATTTAATAGGCTATTTTCAGCTAATTTTGGAACGTTTTGAAATTGCATATTCAAATTGATTTACCAATATCTTGGGTAATACTAAACAAAAATGCATGTGTTATACATCAAAATTTAAGTTAGGCTTTCCTGGATAGGATAACATTTATTTGAGGAACGTAACACTTATAGTTTTTTCGCTGTACTAAATCAAACGCGTGAACTTTTTTTTGCGCCACCCGGTACAGAGCAATTGTTGATAGAGAATGTCTAAAAATAATCTTGAACTGTGCGCGCTGTGTATTTTGGTAGAGCCAATAATAGCAAGGTTTCTTTGGTATGGCCGAAACTACATAAAACATATAAGGAGAGCTACGACGTTTCCAGTGAAGGCCCTTCTTTGGGAGTTTAAACTGAATTTAACAGTGTCGTATTCAACGACTCATGAAATTCGAAAGTCGTGATTAACGAGCCGTGGTTTAGCCATTAGTAAGACCTTCACATATTCGGACGACTCGTTAAATTCGTGAAACTTAATTATCGCATTCAACGACTCGTGAAATTCGAACGTCGCGATTTACGACTTGTGCTTATAGCCATTATAGTAGGACCACGAAATTCGTACGACTCGTTAAACTTTTGTGAAATTTCACGACATTACAAATTATGGATCTTCATCTCAAATATATTTTTTCATTCCTCCTCTTCAAGACAAAAGAAACTGTTTAACATCTTATTTTAAGATTCGTTAACCTACGCCACCTCTGGTGAAATAATTTTTTTCATAATTCGATTGGATTTTTGACATAATATATAGGCATTTCTTAATTGTATATCGTTATAACTGGGTGATATATAACTTAAATTATAATAGCAACAATACATATAAAAAACACGACTTGTCAATCACGACTTACGAATTTCAAGAGTCGTTAAGTGCGACAGTATTGGACAACCATCCGACGAAACTAGTTTTAAAGAGGGAAATTAGATGCAGGATATAATTGTGTTTAAAAGTCATCGCATAGATGAACCACCTGCTCTGGGAGAAAACACTCTCTGGGACAAATTTTTCTTTAAATTTCACAGTGGGACTGGGATTTGATCTAAAAACGGCTTGTGAATTGAGATGTACAAAAAATCTGGGGTGGGAAATGGGATCTATAGACCCTCTGTCGCTTCAGCACTTCTGTTTGGGCAATGTGCATGTACAGGTTTATGATTGAAAACAGTCCATTGAATGTCAATAATATCCCTTTGAAATCTGCAAAAAGCACCTAAACGAAGCTATAGTCAATGTTGTTTGTTTCCTAACCACTGGAAAAAAATAGTGAAATCCATATGGAATTTTCAATTGCGTCACTAAATTTAATACTTAATTGGTACATATTTTCCTACTATTTCCATACATTTTCCATAATATGGAAATATACAATTATTATGGATAGTCAAAATACATTCTATTTCCAATAAAGGTCAATACAATCTCCATTCCATGGATTTTCAAATGTTTTTTTCCAGTGAACTCTGCCATGAACGTCGATATATGATTTTTATTTAATTTCTCACAGGCAATATATCACTTGTGTAAATTTTGTAAAACTCTTAGACTTGAAGTATTCTATATGGCGGCAGTGATGAGTGATTACCTTGCTTTAAATAAATTTGGAGAGAAATTGAAGAGGTTGGATGTCGATGAAATGACAACTACACTTTTTGAATCTGTGTATGTAAGCTAGCTTGCCATGAATTCCAGAATGTATTCAGTAAATTTTAACTGCAAAGTTATAGCTCAATCAGAGTGACCCTGTGGTCGATCTGTAGTGAAAAATGGAAGAAACATATTTTGGAATGGAAACAAAGAACGGCTGAAGCTAAAATAATCATCGGGGACATGTAAGCTGGGGGAACAATAGACAATTCGCATTTTATAGTCTAATTTTTTTATCTTGGCAAAAAAGTATATTTCCGGGAAGAGCATACTAAAATTAGTAAAATTGCAAAGTTTGGTTGCAAAATGTTGTAAAATGCGGAAAATATAGCCTCGCAAAGTCCGCACGTTGTATTGCGTGCGGAACTTGCTACCACATTTCAGCCGAAAATGTATGGTAGCAATTTCCGCACGCAATACAAAAGTAAGTAAAGTATAGGCTATACCAAATTTTCAAACTTTGCAAGGCTATATTTTCCGAATTTTTACAACATTTGGCAAACAAAATTTGCAATTTTCCTCATTTTAGTATTCTCTTTCTAGCTGTGGTGATTTATTTGCATCTCCTTGCCGGTTTGAAAATTAGTCTATAATGGGAATTGTCTATTGGGAAGATGGTGAAATCATTCACTGGGAAAAAATGTGAAATCCATATACTATAAGATTTGCAATTGCACCACTTTATCCATAGTATATCCATATACTATTTAGATACTATATCCATAGTATGGAAATACACAATTATTATGGATAACCAAAATCCATCCTAGTTCCCATAAAGGTCCATACAATTTCCATTCTATGGCCTTTTATGGATTTTCAAGAAATTTTCCCAGTGATTGTGGGGCCAAAAGAACAAAAGAAAAATTTCCAAGGGAACACGGGAAGACAGAACCCTTGGGAGACTCTCAGAAAATTGCTAAGAGTTTGGTAGAGCTAATTCTAATTCTCGCTCTCTCTCCTTCCCTCCCCCCTCCCTCCCTCTCTCTCTGGATTGTCCAACAAATCCAGTTGGAAAATTGTTGATCACTCGGGAAGGATTTTCCTCTTGATTGATCAGCGACAATGGACAATTCCAACGGCAATGAACAAAACCAGGGTTAATTAAGTAAGCGTTTTTATTATGTAAGCGTTATTAAAATTATAATTAGGAAATTTTAAATTGTAAAAAATTGAAATGTTAAAGAAATGTTCCAAGTGTTTATTTTACATTAAGCACCACTTTACTAGCTTCATTGTAACGCACACTTTTCGTGATACATTTGTAGGTGCCTGAACGATGTTTCCTCGCATGTTTTATGGTCAATGTCATACGGACAACGTTGTAGCTACCACCACTTGATATAGCTTGTACCTTACTATTCTTTATCACAATTTTTCCTTTTGGGTTCCTCCAGTAAAATGACGCGAGGCTTGTTCGACAATCTTTCTTCGTTTCTACCAAGCATGTTAAAGTAACACTGTTTCCTTTCTTAGCTGAAATATTTGATTGGGGACTGTTCACCGTTGCATGTTGACATCGCGGGACTGTAGAAAACATAGAAGATAAATTATAAAGTTTGTATTGTTGTTTGACTATAACACTTTAATAAATTATATGACACCTCATTAAATTATGGTACTTTAATTGGCTGATTATGATCAGGTAATATAGAATATAATGTTATATAATAGGAAAATGAGCAGAAAAATTGTATTAATCAAAACACTTTGAATGAGAATAAGTTGAATGAAATTGAAATGATAACTGCCAAATTATCGAACGTCCGCACCAATATTATACTGAGGTTTTATCAAATGAACAAAGTCTCTCACCAAAGATCTCTTTATAAGCATGGAATTAGATGGAGTGAATGATGCTTAATGTTTTGTAATTAGTGTATAATATGTTCAAAATTTTTTAGAATGTCTCCGCACATTGCAGGAAATGCCCTTTTGGAGAGCTTAGATTACAAAATTTTCTGTGGGTGTATGCCTCTGGAACTTCAGTAGGGGTTTGTCACGCCTAAACCGCCTTTCGTTTGCCATGACGAAAATATTTCTTTCCTGCAAGCACGTGATTATGCAATTATACTGTCATAAACAGCCATAACTGCTGGTGTTGTCAAGACATTTTTAAAAATCAATTGTAGCCTGTTTTGTGGTTACATGTTATTATAAGGGTGTGTTCAAAAATTTTCTGGGCTAGGATAAACTTTGTACAAATATGTGCAGTAACAAAAAATTCTTAAAATTAGGTATGCTGTATTGTTGAGGCAATGGCTCTCTACCTACTCCAGATTTTAAAATTTTTCTCTGGGCAGCATATCCCCCCGCCCCCTAAAAGGTATCTGTACCTTTTATAACATCTCGTTTAATTTTGGGAATTTAAGGTTCATTATGGTCACGTGATAAGGGATTTGAAATGTGCATTCCATTGCACATTCATGTCGTGCATTTTTCTTCTATACGTTTTCCGGTTCCAATTGCACAGTTTGGTTTTCATTAAATTCTATCTGTCAAAATCTTAATCATATCCCAATCGTAGCTCACGTGCACGTTACCCAGATATACACAGTGAGGCAGATGGAATTAAATTCAAATGCATAATTTGTGCGAAGCAAAATGACAGGTGCAATAATCACTCAAATATTATTTTTTAGGACAAAGTTGTAATGAATGAATGCCTTATTACATAAACTCTTCCCTCAAACATGTTGAATTTCTATAATTTTTAAACATTGTACATGGAACTCAGGTATGTTTTTTTTTGTCTTTAATTCAATAAGAAATAGATAACAGTGACTTATTTGGTGTTATATAAAACAAATAATGCATGAAGGTTTTCATTCGTGCAACACGGCAGTAAAAATATTTTCATTTTGTGTAAGATTGAATTTTCCATTCCGTCTGGCACCTGAAGAAAATATTAATTTTTACCATTTACTCATAACATTTATTATGATTTACTTATCCATTTTTACAACGTACGTTGATTGGCTAACTTTCTTACAAAAATAACTGGTGAGAATAATACGTAAGCTGCAAATAACTAGTGCAACTGAGCATGCGCACTTGGAAAATCAATTCTCAATTGCAAAATATCGATTTACGCATACGCATATAAGACTTTTGAAAAGCATTTCAAATAAACACAAAATTAAACATGGCTTGTTAAATCTTCAGATATTGTTATTGTAGCTGCAGCTTTGTTGGACTTGGTGACGGCCACAAAATTTCGAGAATGAATAAGTAAATTATAAAACAATTATTGATTTCGGTTATCGCAAAATATCGCAATTAGTCGGTGGCTCGCAGATCAATTATTTCCCTTTGCCTTCGGCATCGGCAAAGAAATGATCTGCTCGCCACTGACAAATCACGATATTTTGCTCAGCTTCGCCTAATTAATAATTGTATATTATTTGTTTAATATTATGCATGAATAGCCTGGGAGTCTAAATACGTTTTCACACAATAAACAAATGATATTCGAACTAGCTTAGAGTAAAATTATTAGGCACCTTAAGATGTAGGACGGCAAAGCGCAGGGTCCTAAACACGTCCGAATTTATCATTATGATAAATTCGCGGCACCTAACACTAACCCCAACCCTAACCACTAACCTTACCCCTAAGCACTAACCCCTAACCCTAACTTTTTAAACTTTTTTTAACTTTTTAAACTTTTTCGAAAATCTAACTTTTTAAACTTCTTTTGCTTTCTAAAACTCTTTTAAAACTTTTTTAAAAACTATTTTTTTGAAAATCTTCATGATAAACTCATATAGTAAATTCAAAGGTGGAGCTCATGTTGGCAGAGCGACGACGACGACCAAAACAAAACCCAAACAAAGAATTGTAATGAAATATTATCGTATATTATCAATTATATGAATTTAATACAGCATGAAGAGATCAAAACAGAGGCTTTGTGTTGAGTAGAGTTCCATATTAGTACTGAATCAATCCGCCGAGTATCCCGGCACTTCTTACGTACTGAAATGCAAACGTTGTACACAGGACGTAAAAACTCTGGTTTACCAGTTGTAAACAGACCATGGACGACGTCTGAATCTCCCATAGGATTTCAATTATTCATTTCTTTTCTTAAATATTATTAATTTTATTGTATTACTAGCCGTCGTCGTCACGTCGTCGTCACGTCGTCGTCCTTCAGTGTGTATAAAAAAACTGAACCCTTTCAAATTCAAATTAGCTATAACGTGATATTATACCTCAACTTCAAATTGTCCAATCAGAAAACTCAGTTTGTGACACGTGAGCATGAAATTAATCGCGATATCACGCCTTACGTCATCATTTAGCGAGCCTTCGTTCCTTTTGACAATGTTCCACCCCATGTTCCCCAGGGAACACGTGGTGGAACATTATTCGCGTAGACCACGCGAGACAACACGTATGACAACAAGATGGCCGACAAAATAGAAATAGTGTTAATGAGTGATGAATAATTAAATTTTAAACGTAAAACCTGGGGCTTTTTCAAAATTTCAAAACAAATTTTGAAAAATGTTGGCATTAATATTCCAAACGATATGTGATACGAAAGAAAAGCGACGACACTTGCGTTAATGTGTCAAGTTTTTAATTCTCAACTTGAAGACTTTTAATTTTCGGTATAATATATCATTTACAGACCCTCTGCTCGGGGGATTCGGGGAAATATTACCCGAAGTGACGTTATTTAATTTCCCTCGGGGCAAAGATCTTCGCGCTCGGGAAATATCATCACTTCGGGTAATATTTCTCCGATATTAATAATATTTTCCTCTCTACTCATGGGACAACACTCAAAGAAATAAAAATTAGAAAATTTAAATGAAATACAGTATTTCTTTTAAGTTTTCTAATTTTTATTTCTTTCAGTTTTGTCCCGTAAGTTCAAGACCTTGTGTTCTTACCCAACCATTAATTCAAAGCAATTAGAGCTGTCAAATTACTACATTATAGCTAATTTGAATTTGAAAGGTTCAGGTTTTTTCATACACACTGTAGATCTTAAGGTCTCTAATATTGCTTCGGCCCCTCCTTGGATTATTTCGTCCCCCTTGACCAAATATCCTGCCTACGTACGTCATTGTCTGATGAGCAATCTATCTGTCTAAGTTAAATGAATGCTTTGAATTAATAGAAAAATCAAGTGATCCTTACGATGCATATGAACTGTAATGTTCCACGATTCTCGGCCATGTTGGTTAGATCCTTCGCAACGGTATTTGCCATCATCCAACTTACTGCCTTTAGGAATTGACAAAACTTGCTTTTTTTCCGCAAAGTGATATTTTCCTCCTGTTGGGAGGGGTTTACCATCCTTGTACCATTTTACTTGAACTGCAGATTGTTTGCTTATAAAGCAACAATACAAGTCTACTTTATCGTTGACTGTAAAATCTTCTTGTTTGCTTGATCCATCAACAAGTTCAGGTGCATTGGATGCTGAAAATTACAAAGTAAATAAATACCTTCAGTGAGGTTCGTGTAGACCTATCATGCAAGTATCCTGCATAGGGCCGTCGCTGAGGGGAGGATGTGTAATTGTGTGTGCATGTGGGGGGGGGGGGTAACACCTCCTGAAACGAGTTGTCAGCAAACGAAAAATATTCAAATGGACGATTAGTTAAACAGGAACTTTTCATATAATTTATTGCAAATGTGCTAACAAATCTCATCAAATTATCCATCACTGTCATTTTTCGGCAAGTAAAGAATTTGCCGTCAAACGGAATTAAGATGTGATATGAAAGAGTACCTGTCGGTTGGCATACATTGGTAAACGAAATTTTTCAGAAGAAATGAAAGTTACAACGAGGCATTTTAAATGGCATGGTTAAAATCATGATTAATTAATTAACACTGGGAGAAATATATTCTGATTCTCACCGACAAACAACAATGGTGATTTTCTCCAGTGTCTCTTTGCGTAGGACTTATGATGATATATTCAAAAATGAGATCCAGTTCCTAATTTACAGTATATTAATGGTAAATTAATGATTGGCAAATTAAATTGTAAATAAAATGTCGATATTGGCTAGTTAATTAATAATGCCCAGAAATATGTTACTCTTACTGAAATGAAGTGTTTCGTCCAACAAGATTCTCGTCAGAGTAAATATATTTTAAAACTAAATATTATTGAATAGTTAATTTGGGATGAGCACACCCAGAGACTACGCCCGTTTGTTGTCAAATGCTATACTCACACATCCCTGCATATTTAAACCTCTTCACGACGGCCCTGCTTCTACATTTTCGAGACATATTCTTATTATAGTTGTTACATGTGTTGGAGACTGTTATTGTTATTGTTATAGTACGTTATAGTTATAGTTATAGTTATAGACACGGATTTTCCAGAATATTCTATAAATGTTCAATATAAATATAATATCTCGTTCAACAGAGGCCCACACACCAAATATGTATGGTTATTTTGAGGCAACGAAGGGACATGTGATTTATTCACCGCAGCGCCGAGGTGAATAAATACATATCTCTGAGGTGCCTCAAAATAACGTACTTATTTTTCACATTGCGAGGTCGCGTTAATGAGTCAAAATAGAAATAAGTCTTAATGCCATATTGCCTTCGTTATGTTGTTTTTTCTCATTTTTTTGTGCTGCAAAGACATTGCAGGTGAATATTAGAGGGGGTTATTAAACGGAAATTGATTAGAGGGGAATATTGAATATATTCCCCGATAAGAACAAAGGAAGCCGAGCTGGGTGAAAAATATGCCTATAGAAGGGCACCCTCTTCCTCCATTACGCCTATAATGTCTGTTTAATTCATTTTTGTTGTTCTTTCAAAGGACAGCTGCGTATCTGGTACGTTTCTAGCACTAGTAACAATTACCGATGAAAATAATTAATCTTCCGGCTTCTCACTAAGTTACCTTATCGGCGTGCATGTTGATGTGTGGGGAACTTTTAAGCAAGAGTGCTCTGAATGGCTCTCGCCTAAATGTATTAAATTTGGAGGTCATCAAAAATCACACAGTAATTCCTTAAACCGTGCGCCAGATTTCATAGTGTAATCTCTCTCATTATCAATCGATCTACTTGATGTACTTAATATTTTGTACTTGTCAAGAAATATTTATAGCATTGCCATATAAGACCACACCCCACTTAAACACCACTTAAAATAATATAGTTTTCAAGTGCTGTGCACTACGGCGAGTACCGCGTGAATATGAATAACTCTGTATGTAAATAACACTATGAATTAAAATTGCTCAGCCTTTAAAACAGGTTTTATAGGAAACTTAAGATTTTAAATTTGCTAAAATCATGCATGCATGGTTTATTTAGAGACCATGCAATTACGATGAACGGCAGCTTGTCGACGACGGGTGTTAAATATACAATGATGATGGAAGAAACTTTTAGGAAATGAATAATTTATTTAAAACCCAGCATATTTTCCTCATTTTTGCCACATATATATGGTTAACCAGATCTTTCTAAAAGTGGAACTTCCGCAAAACATCCAGGAAGGCATCAGAGAGGGTTTGGCAGCCGACAGGTCCCACAACAAGAAGCAACGGCAGAAAACAAAATTACTTATCCACTTTTCTATATATGCGAGCCGAAGCCGTAGGCTATATCACAAAACTTTACTATATTTGCCGCTTGAAAGAACTCATCTTTATCTTTGAATAGCCCTTAAGTAGCAATTGTCGGTTAAATCATATAGCTATAATAGCCCAACGACGTCGAAAGTTTTAACTGTTGACATGGCGATAAAGCCGTGGAACTGACCTAAATAACACAACTGGTCTGTGCCAGTATAGGTAGTGGCAATAATAACAAGCTTTCGTTGGTATAGGGATGCAACTACCTGAAAAATACAAAGCGAAATTCGACGTTTCGAGCAAAGCCCCTGGTCGGGAAGTTAGTTGCACCCCCACCAACGCAAGCTTCTAAATAACGTGGCAGTGCGAACAACTATACAGGGTGTCTCAAAAAAACCCAAAATCATTGAAATTGACGTATTGTTCGATATTCAATGCCCTAGCACTAAGTTAATCCCACGAGTGCATAAAAGATTGACATAACTGCTATAATGAATGGTAATACTCAGCGTAAACTTGTTATGTCAGGCATAAAGTACTAAACCCACGAATGCATATTACGCATATTACAATTTACGAAGCATTTTTAAATTCCCATGAGCAAACAAACGTTCACTTTACAAAGATATTTTAATTTTTTAAAACAAATTAATCAACCTGTCAAAATCCTTTGTGTTACGGCATTGAAATTCGAACAATACGTTATTTCAATGATTTTGGTTTTTTTTGAGACACCCTGTACAGGGTGTATAAAAAAAAACGCAACCTCGGAATTCCCCAAGAAATCGACATTGTTTTAAAGACAAAAGATTTTAGGCGCCTGGGAATTTAAAATAGCACAACTGTCAAAATTACTGCACACGCGAGTGCATAAAGCAAAATTTATGCATTTATTTAATGCACAACAACAGTAATATGATCTATTAGCAATTCGATTTCAATT